CTATTATGCCCATTTGCCTGCCTTCTTATGGGGCCACCTGGAGCCCCTCGTCCACCTAATTAAGTCCCTTCTAAAGATGGAAGGAGACATGGGAGGGAAATGACAATGAAAATGGCATCAGGTTTCCCAGGTCATCGCTCTATCCTTGAGAATCTCGAAACCTTCCCAGTCTGAATAGCAATCCTCTGACATTCAGTGCAGACATCTTATGAACTGCCATCAAATAACATATGAAGGGAAAAGAGAGAGAGAAAAAAAAACCCTGCCTTTACTAATCCATTTAAGGTTTGTTAATTTGTTACACGTCTTGTCAACAATGACAAGCAATGTGAGGCTGTACTATGTAGGACAGACCTGCTGCTACTTTTACAATCTAATGGATGGCAATGGGGAAATGTTATGTTTGTGGAAAGTATTCAAGAATGAGACTTTAAATGCTAGAGCCATTGAGCTGTTATTACCTTTAATGGAGGTGCCTTTTAGGGTGAAAATATTACCCCCCCCTCCACAATACAGGATAAAGAATGGCAGGTGCTGGCTTGAAACACAAATATAAAAAGGTTCGAAATTAATTTCCCAACAAATTCTCAATGCATCATTAAAAGGGACGCATGCTGTATCTTCTCACATGACATCTTGTTTCACTGGCACTTATAGACTATACAAATACAGAGATCTTTCTTCTAATGCAATCTATCTATCTATCTACGTCTATCATTGTCATCTATCATCGTCATCTATCATCTATCTATCGTCTCTGAAAGTTGCCAGTGACTTCTCAGGCCTCTGATGAGTCGGCTGGTAGATTTCTATACGAGCGTTAGAGAACAAAAGGCTCTTAGTTCAAAGATGAGAGAAAATGAGATTGAGGGAAGGCAGTAAGCTGTGGAGGCAAAGAAGGTAAGGCAATATAAAATATGAAATTTAAAGTACTGGTAATCGATTGTAGTTATTTACATAATTACTATGCACATGGTATATTTATTATTTTCTTATATTATTACTATATATTAATATATAATGAATAAATAAATATATATACACATACATATATATAATTGAGACCAGGACTAAGGCCAAACATTAATAGACAAGACAGCATAACAACAAACAAACAGTAAAGAAACAAGCAAACAAAAATTACTAGTTTAATGTGGAGAAAAGAGTCAAGTAAAATAAACCCAAGGTGACAGAAAAGAAAAATAACGCACAGAAACCTACAACAAAGTAAGAGAAGGGACGTCAAGGAAGATGACCCGTGAGGAACACGTCTGGTGGGATTTGGGGGTTGCCTGGGTAAGCCATCTAAGTGGTCACCCAGACAAGCCCATGCTGGCTGGCTCAAGGTGCAGGATGCTCACTCCATATGAGCCACAGACACCAGCCCCTGACTCCCAGATCTGACTGAGGAGAGACTACGCTCTTCACTGAACATCGGTTCAATTTTGCCCTTTGAATTCCAAACTAACACCTCCGGCCTTTCACGTCTTCTCTAACGGGTTGTTATCTCCCTCTCACTCTTAACATCATACTTCTAATGCAGTTCTTTTGAGTCACCAAAAACCTTACCCAGACTATCTGGAGTGCAGCAGGTGCCTTGATTTTTCTTGAGATTCCTGCATGGTGCAATGTGTTCTGCGAATATTCGTCACACACATTTATTCCATGTGTCACATGATTAACTATTTGCTTTACAGGAAATGTCTGGAGCCACTAAGCCTAACGAGGGGGACTATCACTAAATCCAAGTATTCTCACAGTAGGGATAAGCTTTCACAGTTAGATAAATTATTAAAGTCAGGTGAATAACTTCTTTTTATTATTCAGTGGCTCTCAATTTCATAGCTGTGACGGTGTAGGGGGCTAATATTGAGTACTCTGCTTGGATTTTCTTTATGAAAGAAAAAAATTCCCACCACTCTAAACACTTAAAAATAAGTTGAAACCATACCGTTTCCTTTGGAAAGAAAAAGATTTTTATGAACTGTGACCATTCTCTCAAAGGAGTCAGTCCTGCCTTCCATCTTCTTATTAAGTCACCACTTTTCCTCCATGTGTCTAGATGACTGGATTGTTCTGAAAGACACATAGAATTTCCTTTTCTGTAGCACAGCAGCTTTTGGTCCTAGCATAAAATTCACAATATGCTTTCAGTATTCTTGGTCTTCCTAACTTCATTCTTGAACAATGAAGTGTCTGTGACAGTTTAAAATAGACAAACTTTTTTTAACTAAAATAAAACTTGTCCTTCAAAGGGGTCTCCTTGGGTTTTCCACGTGTATCTAAATGACACGGCCATTGTTCGAAACAGTTTTGGGAAGTCTGCTCGGGGTATTGCCTTTACAAGGAAGTCAGGCTCGACTTTATAGTTCCACATTGCTTTTGACTTAGAATTGCTGTTTCCTAGCTTAATCATCTGCTTGACAGCAGACCACTTTTGGTTTAAGATAATGGAGTTCATTCTCCCAGGACGAAGATTTGTCACCACTGAGGTGAGTCAAAAGAACATTTAATAGATTCTGAAGGCAATTAAACATGCAGGTGTTCCAAGCTTGTGTAAGTACCTTATTGGAAGATGTGAACAGCCTCTGAATGTTTACTGGAGAGTTTGTTTACTGGATCACGTATTTTTGGGAATAGGAGTTGTGCTAACAAAACAAAAAAACTAACCACATTGCTTTATAATTTCATATAGATAACTGAATTATATGCATCTCTGTCTCACTCTTTTAAATTCGAACAGCTAGCTGAAGATGTAATTGTTTTTCAACATTTCTGGAAAACGGTTTTGATCAGGAATTTTCATTTTTAGTTGTTTTAATACAATAGCTCCAATAACAAAGATTGTGCGATAACAATTTGTTATGAAATCATATTAATTGGGGAGAGAAATTAATTGATCTCGCCTAAAGTATTTTCTCTCACATACCAAAAAAAATCCACTTAGACATATAACCAAATGTTATTTAATATCTTAAAAAGTAACACAATCCAAAATGGATATTTCACACAACACTACATAAACAACATGAACACAATATTACCATATGGAGGGACTTTCAAATATAGACTTACAAAAATCCCTGTGCTTTTTTTTCTTTTAAGTTATTATACTAAGCATGACAAGTAATCATCATTTACAATATGGTACACTGACACGATAAAAACCATGTTACAAATGTGCTGTTATAAATCAGTAACATTAGGGAAGACATTTCATGAACTGTAATTATTTCATATGAAATACTATACAATATAAACAGAACATCCATCTTGGATGACCTTTACAGCAACCAGAGACCAAGTAATTTAAAATTTTTTTTTTCAGTGCAAACACATTTTATTCAAGGCAGTCTTGGCTGCAAAACTCCTTTCTAACATACAGTAAATCCCACTTGCACTTCTTAATTCATTTACCCTAATGCAATAGTCACATTCAGTCACTCAGAGAAAGATACCTGCAGAATTATGATCCCTTTAAACTTAACGTTGAAATTTAATTCTCTGCTAGAAAGTCATATCTATGTCAACTACTCTAAGGACCTTAATTTGTTGCTGTCAATACTTACAGGAAGGTGACCCTAGGGCAGCACTAGTGCTAACCCATCATATGTGCACAACACCACACACTGTTTTGCCCTTCCAATGTGGAAACCACGGCGGTGTATCGGTGTCTGGGTGGGGACTGGGAAGGAGGCAGGGAGGGCACTGGAGGACAGGAAGGCGAGGGCTGAGTGCGTACTTTGTGATGAATTTCCTGTAACTTCAGAGGACTGATAATGGAGATCTCAGATCTCAGATTTGGTACCTCTTTTTGGTGGGAGCAAGGGAACTGGGGCGCCCAGGTCAGCCTTTGGAGAGGGAGGTAGGAAG